AATTGCGTTCAAAGTGATTGTATTAGTTGTAGAATAATGGTCAGTGAATAACTACACATTTTGATATTCATCGTAAACAAGTTTGTTTCTGTAAAAAGAGCAATAACCTGCTGCCTTCTTTCAAACACCAATGGCAACAACCCTGTGATATTATTTCTTTACAGACTAGCACTATTTGTGTCATCCTGGAAGAAAGATGCTGAAACTGACTGCGTTGTTTACAGGGAGAATGTAGAGAAAACTGTGAATGAAATGTTTACTATGGTTATGAATGCCAAGCTTTAAAAAAATGGATATTGTATTATAACAACGCTAACATAAAAGCAATGATTAATCCATGCACGCAGATTGAACTTTTTATATCATGTCTGACAATATTTCAATATCTTGTATATTCACACTGTATTATAGTTAGAATTATAGTAATTTTAGGTAGATTCAAATTTCAGCTAAACGATACATATATTTCAGATGTCATTTAATATTCTGTGGAAGCATGAAAGAAAGCCTGACTGAAACTACGAGGGTTTCTGTAAACATAGGCTATGCAAGTGATAAACATCATCATTAGCATAACCACACCTCCATAAACAATTGCCCCGGGAAACTGAATTGGTGGTTCACTGATAAATAGATAGTATTAATGTCAGTTTGCAGGATATTGTACTATCGATTTTTATTTTATGTCTCGTTACAGGATTCCAAGTGGACTGGCAAAGTCGGGACTTCTTTTTTGTTTTACAACAAGAAATAATTAATTGTTTTTAGTCCTTTTAGCGTGATCGCGAAAACTAACCTGACCGCTAAAGAAATCCCGACTGGACGCATCTGCGGGCATTTGACTGATATTAATTATTCATGATGTCATTGATTATCCATGAATGGGTGTGTGAAAGTAAACGTGACCTTTTAAAGGTTGATTCGAATCGATCGCAGAGATGGATACTTTAACTTATTTAAGTGCAACGGCGATACTTTCATCCACGTTTACTGAAAACAAGTCGATTTAAATGTCCAATGTATATAAGTAGTCTTTCAAATTCGCCGGTACCGCAGAAGTGAAAAGTCACGTACATTAACATAAATAAGAGATGACGTATATAGCTGCACTTTGATTCGTTGTCAATGCCAGTCAACATCTTTTAATTAGCATAATCACCGGAGTGATTCCGCTCCGGTTTTCACTCCAACGCAGGGGGTCGCCTGCAGATGCGTCCAGTCGGAATTTCTTTTGCAGTCACGCTAGTTTTCGCGATAGCGTTAAAAGAGCTAAATTGACAATTAATTACATTTGCCAGTCTAGATTCCAAGGGGTCTTATGAAAATGCAGATATTAGCCATGTTGACGATTTGGCAATGAGTTTAGACTTATTTCCTAACAAACAAGAAGAGTCCTTTTTCATATGTTTACCTTATATGCAACACTTTGAAGCATTTCAGCGCGTGTGCAAGGAGAAGTGTCCTTGATTATTTCTGTTTGGAGGTCCGTCTACTTTTGGAATTTGGATTTTCCAGACGGGGTATATTCTGCCAATTTTGCGGTCGGCAGGGTCGACTTGCCGGCTGACGCATATTTCCTCATCAAAGGTAGAGCGGATAAAGCACTATTTAATGGGAAACGGTTAAGCATCAGGCAAGGTACAATGTATTTTACATTGACGACGGCAGTACGTCGAAAGACGTGGGGGATTTTGCCCGATGTGAGAGGAAGCTGCTCATAAAAAAGTTTTCCAGTGTGAATTAGAGGTTATAAACGGCACGCGATGGTATTTGGTAGCGAGATGATTATTTAACCCAAATATGCTAATTTTGCCCTGAGAAGTCTTATATCCGCTACCAAATACCCTAGCGTACCGTTTATGACCTCATTATAATACGACAACGTTGAATATTTTATGGAAATACGACATCTTTCCGAAACGAAGTGTGGAGAGCGATGAAT